CCCCCATTTGCACTCGAAAAGACTGTTTTTAGCCCTCTTTTAGATCAAAATTTCCGAAAATTCGTCAATTTTCCGGAAGGTGGGGGGGGGGGAGATTTCCGCCACTGTCAATAATAATAATAACGTGATAACAAAAACAAAAAAGTTTGGATAAGAAAATAATAATATCGCATTTGATGCCTCAATCTTGCTAAATGTTTTCACATGTCATTTCATTCTAACTGACATGCACATAAACTTCGCTGAATTTTGACAGCCATCTCCAGGCTTGTAACTAAAATGTCACTAGCTTATTCATTTATTAACGTACGTTTATATCAAACGAGAGCGTATTAAGAAATCCACGTTGATCACAATCTAACGATTCATACAATTGTGAATTCATAAATACGAGCCAGTAAAAATAGGATTCTTTTGTCGTATGTGTGACTCTATCGGGTGGTAATATGTCTCGCACGTGATTATAAAGTCCTAGTATTTATATGTAGCTTCACATATGAGTAATTTTTCGCGGAAATAGGTGCATGCAAAAGTGGGAAGGATGGACAGTAATATATAAGGAAGCGATAAAACTAGTTATTAGATAATAGTTATTATTATTGAATGTTGTGGCTAAATTTTTGCGAAAGTTTTTGTTTTATATTATACTGGATTATTCCTTTGATTGTATATGCCTCTTGTTTACTTTAATTTCGAGAAAGTGAGCATACTAAATTATGTTTCGCAAATATTGTTTGCTTTATGTTCCGATACACAGGAAATGAAATGAGTTCAGCCGTCATAGGCGTACGGGCGGGAAGAAATTTACCCGATCGACTTTTACCCACTGAATAAAATTTTCCGTGTAACTAAATTTCCAAAATTGTCGTTGGGAAGTAGACAAAAATATTTTCCTATTTGTCGATTCCTCGTTACTTTTACATATTTCTGGTATTTTCAAATACCATATTGCATGTACTGTCTTCTTTTTAAATTTATTTCCTCCAATTTTTGCCCGAATTTATACGTTTATAATTTGCATGACTTAATTTATTTTGACTGGGGGGCGGGGCAGCCTCCCCCCCCCCCCTCGCCCGTACGGCTATAATCAGCCGTTGTTACGGATCGGTTATATATTGTGTTAAAAGTATTTTGACTTTGTTGTTTCTGATGACATTTGCCGACTCTCGAGTTTTTACTCTCGATCGACTCTCGACTTTTTACTCTCGATCGACTCTCGACTTTTTACTCTCGACTCTCGACTTTTTTACTCTCGACTTTTTACTCTCGACTCTCGACTTTTACTCTCGACTCTCGACTTTTACTCTCGACTCTCGACCTTTACTCTCGACTCTCGACCCTCGACTTTTAGATACACTCCTCTTAAGAGTATTTCTGGTAGTACCAAATAATGTTGTGCATGATGTAGTCATAGAGTTCACAATAGTTTGAGACGTAATATGAAACCCGTAAAAGAACAACTATGATCGGAATGTTAGGACAAAAAGCAAAGAAATTAGAAATACAATGATAGATTGTAATTTTTGTGGCCAAAATCACCCAAGAAAAAAGGAACTATGTTCGGCCTGGCAAAAACGTTGCCGAAGCGTTCAATGGTCGCAACCATTTCTCAGCCGTCTCCCGTAAAACAAATTCGCACATGGTGTCCACAAGGTTTGCACAAGGTTTCAGAACAACGCGAAAGTGACAGCAGCGAAATTATGAATTTCTCGCGGATATCGCTGAACAAACTGAAGAGTCAATGATTAACGCAGTGAAACAAACGTCCGGTTTCTCTAAAGAAGTATACACTGAAATGAAAATTAACGACAAAATAGTAAACTTTCAAATTGACTGTGGCGCACCGATTAACATTACTGAGGACCACGCAGACGGAAGTAACATTACTCCGTCAAATAAAACCTTGAAAATGTGGAACGGGTCAGCTTAAACCTCTAGGAACAACTCGTTTAATAATCAAAAATCCGAAAACCGAGAAAAAATACTCGATTGAATTTGTTGTTGTTCCAGACAATCTGACACCCTTAATAGGGCCACGCGCCGCACAACGAATGGGTCTAATCACTGAATGAATGCCCGGGAGTGCGGAATGAATGCCCGGGAGTGCGGAATGAATGCCCGGGAGTGCGGAATGAATGCCCGGGGCGAAATCGTGTTATTTATACGCGAATAAATCATCATTTTAGATAAAGTTTGAATGTTTTTGTAATATTATGTTTACTTATTCGATGAAAAAACCCCAAAAAACTAATTGTAAAAACAATTTAAACGCATATACCATGACCATTTCATTATAAAGAAGTGATTTTCATGGAAGAAGTAAGCATAATATTACAAAAACATTCAAACTTTATCTAAAATGATGATTTATTCGCGTATAAATAACACGACCTCGCCCCGGGCATTCATTCCGGACTCCCGGGCAATCCCGGCCGTTCTTTAGTAGGACCCGCGCGCTGTAGTCAGTGGTCTTAATTCATAGTCAGGCCAGGTAGTGCACCATAGCAGCCCAATTTTAGGACGAAAGAAGACGATCAGTAGTTGACCAAAACTATTTAAAAATTTCTTAATTTTGTCAAATAAGTGAATAACAGCACTTTAGTTAGAATAGTTAGAATGTAAGTATAATAGTTATAGAACTCTTATCATTACTCCATGAGCACTTTTAGAGTGATTCTTAAATATTTTCTTTGCCATGCAGTGATCGCAGTACGTTTGGATGATGCATCACTGTAGTCAATACTTAGTCTTAGAAGTAGCAGGCTCGTTACCGAGATCGCTAATGGCTTCGGCACTTGCATACATACGCTATTATATGTTACTGTAATGTTTGTATTGCCAAATAATTTTCTCCCACAAAGTTTACACCCTGGCTACACCACTGTGAAGCGTTCTCTGGTAAGTGCAAACTATTTTCAGTCGAGAAGAGTATATGGTAGTAAGTATTATAAACTTTATTTAGTAACTTAATTTCATATATTTAAAGGTCATGCAGTACAGCAAACGGTACACAAGAAAATGACAAACTATTCAGGCTCCTGGATCCTGTTGAACTGATGCCTCCATTCAAACACCCCATAGCTGGAAGGAAATACTTGCCAGGTTCTGGGGGTGAAGGATTTCCACAATTTCTAGCTGGACCTCGAACTGATCTTCCATATGCCCTCGCGGTACAGAACGCAAACATGTTCTCCATCAAGGAGTGGGCTAAGCAATGTCGTAGCTTGCTTGACAGGAAGTTACCGCGACCAAGGGTGGCGTGTTGATTCGTGGATTGCCGTTGAATGAAGGCAAGGACTTCTCGACTTTCACACAGAATCTAGGATACAATGCTATGGACTACAGCGGTGGGACAGGGAACAGACCCTACTTTGATGAAAACGCCACTATTTATATATCTACTCTCGATCCTGAAGTGTTCACGATAGAACCACACAATGAAATGGCTTGTTCTACCGTTCATCCCAAGAAGGTAACTGAAGTAAAGTTAGTACGCTCTCCGCAACCAGGTATATCAAACATGTTTACGCTTGTTACTCTAGTTTGAATTAAAATGAATACAAAGTCCTGTCGAATTGTATTCACGACCCAACGTTTCGACAATCCGGTCTAGTGTCTTCATCAAGGGTGATCAACAATCGAAACGTGGCTCATTATATGCTTGAGGGCAGATGACGTCATCCCTCGAGTATATAATGAGCCAGAACTCGACTGTTGATCACCCCTGATGAAGACACTAGACCGGAGTGTCGAAACGTTGGGTCGTGAATGCAATTCGACTGGGCTTTGTATTCATTTTAATTCAAACCAGAGTAGCGAGCGTAAACATGTAAGGTAACTGAACTCTAAAAATTGAGAGCAATGCCAATGAGTAGTGTGAGTCCAGTGCGTAGTGTGAGTCTAACTTTATAACTCAAACGTTGCAACTCTTTCTTTAGTCCTAAATTTAGCGTTATTAAATTGATGGAAAATCGCCTCAATTTGCGCTTGTTTTATTCCTTATCTTATCTTTGTGATTATTAGGTCGTGTTTTTCTGTGACATTGAGCCAGGTGAAGCGTGTGGGGGGTTGACAGCCATTGTACGGAACTCTGAAGTATTTGCGAAACTTGATCAGAAAGTGGTTGAAAAACTTGCAGAGAAAAAAATCAGATATAGCCGTTATCTACCCAGTGCAGGTGCTGCGCATGCTCAGTATGTCTCCTGGCAATCATCATTTTACACTGAGGAACCGAAGGTGAAAATTCGATATACTTATATAAACTGAGAGTTTAGAGGCGAGCCACGTTCTCGCAATGTGTTGCAACTGATCATTCCTTGTCAATTCGATCGACTATTCTCGTGTTAAAAGAGTAAGTCAACTCTCTGCCGAATGTCATGGGTTTCCTCCGGGCATTACGTTTTCCTTCCACAGAGAAAGTTGACAACTTGACAGGGTGGGATGGGGTAGGGTTCGAAAGCAATATCACCATCGTTGTAAAGATAAAATATACCCTATAAAGCTAGTAGACTTGGCATATAATTACGTAAAATAACACAACGTAAACGTAAATACTTGACGTAAAGCGCACTTGATCGTATCTATTATCTAATTTATCAGTATAACATATGCATCTTTTTCTCATGAATAAATTGCCTTCTTGTAAGAAAGATATCGCAAAACGTATCAGACGAATTGAGACAAAAATTTCACAATCAATGCGATTCCTCCAAATATGAGCGACGATATAACGATAAGTGGAAAGTTTATTGATTATTTGATTTATGTATTTTTTCAGGAAGTGGAAAAGTTTCTTGAGAACGCTAAGTTCTCTTACAAGTGGAACAAGAAAGATGACAGTTTGTTGTACTGGTACACACTGCCGCCATTTGTGAAACACCAAGACACAGGTGAGAAAGTGTGGTTCACTCAACCAGATTCTCACCACAGTTCATACTTCAAGGAGTCACCAATGTTTGATGAAGTTGTTCTGAGTGACGACAGCATGTACCCAGCACATGCTACCTACGGGGACGGGACGGAGATAGAACCGGAAGTGATACAACACATCCGGGCAATTAACTGGAATTGTGCGGTGGGTTTTCAGTGGAGGACTGGGGATATAGTGGTGCTTGATAATCTCGCTATAATGCATTCAAGATTGAGTTTTACAGGGAAATGTAGAATTCTTAGTTTTTTAACGTCTAATTAACATGTATTGATAATCACGACATATTATTTTGATTACGATCAAAGCAATATTACAGTTTGTTTCATACTGAGCGGAATTTGGACGGAATCTATTTGGAGCGAAGCACCGAAGGCCCTTCGATTTCGTCTGGAGAAAATATTTTTCCGTCGATGAATCGGTAGCTTGGTGGCTTGATAATAATAATAATTCATAGTGCGCAAATGAACATGCTAATATATGATCAAATGCGCAGTACATTCAATAATACAAATATAAAATACCTAAAATACGACTTATGTTATATCACAATTTAATACGCTAAGCCAAAATAATATGTCTTCAGTTGTTTCCTAATAACATTAAAATTATCATGATCTCTCATGTCCTCTGGTAAAATATTCCATACTTTCGGGGCTACTATTTTGAAATCTCTGTCTCCAAGGCAAAGGTCTTCTTGGATCTTGCACTACAATCAACTAATAATACACTCCCGTTTGAGGTTATAACTCGATTTCCTTTTAACTTCAATGAGATCCTTCAAATATTCAAGGGGCATTGCCATATATGCACTTATGTACAAGCATAGCTATCTTAAAATTTACCCTATACTTAACAGGGAGCCAGTGCAATTTAACAAGAGTAGGGGTGATATGATCATACTTAGCAACATTACAGACAAGGCGAGCTTCCTGATGTGACAATTACAATAATCTATTCGTGACATTATAACTGACTGTACAATGGATTTCCTATCATCAAAGGTTAAATACTTTCTAATTCGTCGAACATTATGTAGATGATAGATGACCGATATGCACTGACATATTCAGATTTGCATCATACCCAAGGTCCTTAACAGCTGTTACTGACGATACTCTTGCTTGGCCAACCATAATATCAGATACATTCAATCATAGTTAATATAATGAGAGGGTTTGGAAGGCCGGCAAACTTCAAAGCAACACGTGACCTATCAACACATTAACTCGAAGAGACGCATCACGTGACAGTCAAGGTGCATAACATGGCGATTTCGTAGTATAATCTATATCAATTCTATATTAATTGGGTTTTTATCGATGGTTTTACAACGTTTTGATAAATGTAAAGATTTATCGTGCCTTGCCTATGCAAAAGGCAACGTTTGAGACCTTTTCATATTCCATTGGCCATTCTGCTTCCGCTGTATATAATATCGACGGGGTGCCAGGTGTCATATTTCAAGTCACCCGAATGTTAATTCAACTTCAGACGGCAAATACTCTTCGAAGAAATCCAATAAAACACACAATTTACAGTACCCATTGGTAACATGGATATAGATGAAGAAAATGAATCCGAATGTCCTGTAAGCCTTTGTTCCGATTTTGAGCAAACCATGGAACTTCTCGACATGGATATTGAGGAGGTTCAAATGGAAATTGAACACTCGCTTGAAGAGGTATTACAATTGTTAAAGAAATACCGGTAGTTAAGGGTTTTTTGAATACTTCATACACGTTACTTTCTCTAAAACCTTAATATTTATAAACTTTCCCTCCAGGTTGAAGGAAAGAAGCAGTTTCCATGCACCTTCTGCGAGAAGGTATGCAAGTCAAAAGGTGGCTTGACGAAGCACCAGCGAAGTAAACATGTGGAACAATTGGGTGAGAGTTCATCTTCGTCTGAAATTGACAAAAATGTTATATCAATGGAAAACATATGCTCTATAATACGCGACATCGGTCGACACTTGGTTGATGAAAAACTTTATAAAGAGGAATAAACAGCCGAGATATTTAAGCTCCATCCAAGTGAATCATTTGTCAGCTTTGTCAATAAACTCTTATTGACATTTAAAAGGAAACGAAATCAAGACAGATTTCTTAAAGAGTTTTATGGGAATTCACATGCCAACTGGAAAGAATATTTCCATCCGTATGGAGAACAGAAAATGGTTTTCCTTATGTTGATCCATCTCCCTGAACGCCTGATTGGATTTCTGGAGAAAGGACACGATGACTAAGGAATATCTAAGGTATGTACAACAGACAACAGCTATACTAGGCTCAGATTCCAGCCAATGGGTTCTCGGCAAGTGCCGAGAACCCAACTCCTGGAATATGAGCCTACAGAGATCTGTCCTTAGTGTACTGTAGTTCTTATTTTAGACTTTAGAGTACTTCTAAAGTCTAAGTGGAAAATACATACTTTGTGTTTACAGTACAGGTGTGTATGAAAAACCAGACTAGCACAATTCCCATTTACAAAAGGCAAGATCTTGCCTACTGGCATGGATTGATTTGGGGGGGTATTTCTCTAACCCTCTTATAAAGTGTTCAACCCACCAAAATTTTGCTTCACCCCTCCTATTTTGTGTGAAAGTCATTAACCTTAACGCCTAACCCCTGTCGAAGCTCGCTCAGTGGTGCCGCATGCACCCAACCAAGAATGTTTCTACCCCTCCTTTAAAATAAAAATCCGCCCCTTGGGACTTACTAAACTCCAGCATAGTTAATTACTCCAGGCCCCTATCTTACACAACTCAATTTTGCACATTGGGCTGTTACAATATATTGAAGCAATCATTGGACGACATTAATAATTACAGGTCATGTCAAATCAACACCATTTTCATTAATTTAATTCTCAAAAAAATTTTAGGAAGAGTTGTCCCTATCACCTCACGAATTTGGACCACTATCTTACCTGGCTGGTTATGTGATACGGTCATTATACCAGAAAAGCAAAAATTGTTCCAGAAGCAATTCCCCCCGCAACAAAGAAATTCAAGCTTTGATGTCGTCAATGCGACAGGAAACAAAAGCGAATGAATATATTTCATCATTATCAAGAGGTGCATGGATTTTGGGCACCCCATGAATGGATTGTTAGTATTGCAGAGGTATCTGAGTTGGTATTCAGAAAGCACACAAGTAAAGACAAGGTCACTTGTCTTCCAGTAGATATAATTGTGAATGAAGTCCTAACTTCTCCCCTTGTTAAAAACTTGTGGTGCAATATTATTCAAAACTGTTGCGTACAAATTTCAAAGGAATGTCAATCATTATGTTTAGAAAATATTGTAAAACTATATGTTACTGTCAGATCTTTTTCATTTGCTAAAGATATTGTTAATAAGTATAAGCTAAGTCAGCGTACTCAAAAAACTAAAGCTCTACGAAAAGACCTGAAAAAAGCCAGTGAAGAATGTGTGAATTAATTTTATCATAAGTAATCTAACACTGTTGCAGTCAAAAGTTGAGTAAATAGTGACTTGAACTGGCATTATTTACAAACCAAATTAATTAAACTACATTGTCAAGTCTAAAAGGTTTCTCAGGGACCATTGTTGTACATTGCAAGTACACAAATGTTTATTTCAATATAGCTTACAGTAATGCTAATCAACAAAATTGAAAAGCAGTGTTTATTTCAGAATGAATCTGAAAAAATAGTGTTAGATTACTCATGAAAGTTTGTTTAAAGTTGATGCTATATATAATACATTGTTATCTATCTAATGTATATTAATGTAATTTGTAAATGAGTGTATAGTTTTCATCCTTGCAGTCAGCAAATATGATAGACAGTCATTATTAGCATAATGTGTGTCAATTACAGTGTAGGTTAGGCTATACCATAACTGTTTATTCAAATATATAAGAATGGTGTCTAGCAATGCTAATATATTGGGTGACTGTATGTCAGGGAAACAAGCCTCTAACTTCCATCAGTTGCAACTGTCTATCTGAAATATTAAAATGTTTATTAATTTAGAGAAAATCAGTTTATGGTTTCTTCTTTGTATTCTTTTTGGGCAGAGGCTCATCGCTCACATTGCACCACCTACTTTTCTTCCCAGAATGCCGTCCAGATACATTTCCCTCGATTGATTGGGGTGCAACATCTCGCAGGGTGGCAATTCTCAGGTCATTGTAACCAAATTCAGCAGCTGATGGGTTGTCACTTCTTCGGCCTTGTGCACGTTGGTAGCCAAAGTACTCCTCAACATCATCTTGACAAAACCGTTCAGTCAAAACAAACTCAAACCCCTCACTCAATAAACACTTGGTGATTGCGATAGCTGATTTAACTGTCATCGTTAATCCCTTAAAGGTTTGGATAATCAGGAACATGCGTCCTCTGTCATCATCAGTAAATGCACCTTCTCTTGATTCTGTTGATGATTTCCAATTGGTTAAGTATTCCAAAAATAGATTTTGCAGCCAATCAAATCTTTCATCATCTGCACTTCTGTATGGGGCTAATAAAGCATTGCGCTTTCTCTGGTACTCAGTGGTGGAGCGGACATTCATACAATCAAAAAAATCGTTCATCATCTTGCACAGATTAGCGGTTCCCTGTGCTTCTGCTGATGAGTAATGACGCTGTAGAGCTTGTGCAACTGTATTGCTTAACACTTGCACTGCCATGCTGACTTTCATCTTCGAATACGACTTCAGAGCGATGTGATCTACTGTCAACTTAGGTAGCTGATTTAGCCCTGAGTCGAGATCTGAGTTATAAAGCTTGGCAATGTGTTCCCAGAGTAGGTACTTCCCATTGTTCCACATGCTACGTGTGCGCTTACCACTACCGGAATTGAAGAGGCAGTTTCTAGTTGTCTTCAGCAAATGTGGAGCATCGGAGAAGAAGTAGATGTTCCTACCTGGAACAAAAAGGTTGGGTGTGTAGTGTACCACTTCGACATCTGGTTCTATCAAATTAGCATGCAGTTGGTAAAAGAGTCGATTAGGCGAGGCTTCATCAGATACAGCGGCACAAACCCAGAGGTTGCACAAAAGCTCGAGTATGGACACTGCTTTCCAAAACAAAGGCATGATCTGGTAAGAAGTAACATCTTTGGTAAGAAAGTATGCAAGGGCATACTTAAGATCACTGGCAGCACCACGTACAAAAAATACCAACGCATGGGTTGCAGGGTCAGACGATCCACTGCTAACATTCAATTCCTCTTCTCCGAGATCAGCAAACTCAATTAGTTCATTGGAATGTTTATCAAATACCAGCTTCGATTGAATTTTCATTTCATCAAATGAAAGGACAACATATCTCTGTATGTCAAAATACTGGCTGGTTTGGTTCTTCAATCTTTCAACATTATCTCGATGAAAGCCTGCCCTTGGCTTGAAGAAATTCCGATAATCCCTAAGAGTTCTTTCGCTTGGCAGCACCAGAACACCTGACTCTCGCAATTCTTTATATGCTGCCGGGGACTTGGCATGAAGGGACAGACAGAAGCGGATAATGTGAGGGTGGTATCTATAATAATAATATAATAGTAATGGCTTTATTAGTAGGGTGGTGTGTGAAAAATAATACCGTAAACCTCCGAATATAAGCCTCCCCCATCAATATAAGCCCCCC